GAAATTTATATCACTGGATTCTGCTTCAATTGCACAGGCCAACAAAACAATTTTTGTTGAAAACTTTTTTGACTTTTATAGCTAATTTTTATGTGCTGAAACCAAATTTGGTTTTAGTTTTTTTGTATCACCCATAATTTTTGAGCAACCTGCTTTTGTTATATGCTTTCTTTCTTTTTTTCTTTGAAGCTTCTTGTGTTGCTTCTTCTGCGATGAGTCGCTTGTAGAGCTTCTCGGTAAAGTGGCCAACAGTAGTCTCCTACCATGTTGATGGGTTATGGGATCCAGCGGCCCTGGTAGCGTTTTTCCATCAATTTAATATCCTGGTGAAAACGCTCACCCTGCTCCTTCTAAACTCTCCAAATTTTTCCAAGACGACTGTTCAAAAAGTGAACTTTTAGGCTAATCGAAGACCAAAACAAAACTCCTTTGACATGTTAGCTACAATAGTAACTTATTCTGGGTCTTTTGCTTTTCCTTAAGTATTTTTTTTAAACAACTTGCTTGGATGATACCCATGCTTCTTTCTTCTTATTTATGGTCATTGTGGTTTCAAAGTTAACGTCGAACATTATGTAGAAGTTCGAAGGTAGAAGAGAAGCGATTATGTATGTATGTTCTGAAACGTTTGGAACCTTTTGGCAGATATACTTGAAACAAGGTTCATTGTTAGGCTATGCCTTTATAAACTGTTTCATGAACTTCGTATGTAGAGGTTGTAGGAGAATGTTCTTAGGATATACAAGGTTTTTGCGGAGAATATTCATCTCACCGGGTTTTAAAGACTGACTGACTGACCAAGAAACATGCATGTTACTTTTTTAATTTCCACATATCATCCAACCATGAGCAGAATAGCCAATTTTATTCAACACTATTTCTAGGTTTTCATAGCTCTCTTTCATATGGACAGAATGGTCAACAGGTATAGATGCATAAGTGTTACCATCGTGTAATAAAACAGCTTTGAACTACTTTTGGATGCATAAATAAAAAGTATCAATTCTTTGTTTTTGTATTCAACACTGAAATCGTTCATCAGACCAGTACGCTAAATCACATTCTTGTTCAAAAAATGTTGAAAACTGCTGATCTCTCTTCCTATACACATATATGCTGGTTCCAACAGCCAACAGTTCTCTTCTTTTAGTCTAGAACTTAGTTATTCATCTTCTTCTTTTGTTAACTCAAGATCTCTAACTAAGTCGTTAAGCTCGATCTGCCTAAACAGTTTAGGCTCTATATTTTCTGTCGTATATTGGAACTCTTCATCATTTTGCTCACTAGCTCTGACTGTATACCAGAATTGGTATGTCAGTTTAACAGAATTTAAATCCTTTGGAGATTCTGGACCGGCAAATCTACATCGGGTCCTATTGGTCGGAATTACGGGCATTAGGTTAGGGTAGCTTATTACCTTTATCAACACTGCAAAAGTAGCTATCATCAGTGTGGTTTCTAGGCTCCCTCCATACCACAGAAACAGCAAACTTAAAGGCTTTTTTTCTCCTTTTTTGTCAATTTTGTAAGATCTTCAATACAAACTGAACATTCCTCATGCGGGGCCCAAGATTTATCCTGATCACCAAGTTTAGTTTCAAAATATGAGTAATAAATCTTTTTCACAATGTAATATTTCTTTGGTGTTTAACTCATCGCAAATATAACAAAAAGTCAGCAGAGTTCTTACAACCACGATTAGACATTTTACTGAGCACATGGAAACAGTGGAAACCAGAACGTGAGGTTGGGTTGACAGTAAACAAAACATAAGCTGTAAAGAGGTAGTAAATGTGTTTCAGTAGTGTTGCCAACTCTTCTACATCCAGTATAAGGTATTTTATGTTTGAACTAGATTAAAGCTGGTAAATTCTTTGAGAAATCACAAAATTTAATAAATTAAGCGTCCATGTAAAGAAATGGTGGGTCATACAGCTTAATAAGTGTGTCATATTTTGGTTTAGTACTCTAAAATACAAAAGAATAATGTGTTTTTCATTGTTGGCCTGTGTTATTGATTAATATACATTTTATTAGGTACTCAACTGAAACTTTTATGTATTCTCCATTTAAAATAGGTTTATTTTTCGTAGCAACTACTATGAAACGGCAAGCAATGACAGTGGAGATCAACTTGTCATATGCCGAACAAAAATAATTTTAGCCAGTGTTGCCATAGCTATATGAAATATGTTGGAATGAAAAATAAAAATTAACAGGTTTATTTAGTTATATAATCAATAAACCCAAAAGTATAGTTAGGTATAGGGTTAGTTTAGCTGCATTACATAATATTGAATGCACATAAAATTTAACTTTTTTTATATATTTGCTATCTTTTTTTGGAAAATATATAATCATCATCATCATCCAGCCTTCATTTATTTATCACGTCAACTGCTGGACATATACCTTCCTTAAACTCACCCATTCTTTGCGATTTTGTGCTCTTTGTTGCCAAATTTTCATGATACGCCTGATGTAGTTAGCCGAACTTGTAGGTGGTCTTCTCTACTTTGTTTGTCTGCTCGTGGCCTCCAATGTGTAATTTTACTCGTCCATCGTGAGTCATGCGTTCTCGCTACATGGCCTCCTGTCCAATTCCATTTTAAGTTCCGCTATGCGTTCCACAACATCAGCAATACTGGTCCTTCTTCGTAGATCTTCGTTATTTATTCGGTCCCGCAACGTCACTCCCAGCATAGATCGTCCCATTGGTCTCTGTGCCACTCTCAATTTCGAAGCCGTAGTCTTGGTTAGAGGTTGTAGGTTGACCATCTTAAAGGCATACTCTAATGCCGTTATGAATAATTTCGGTGATAATTATCGTCTATATTTCGGTAATTTCATTGATTCTATAAGGCTATCTATTTGAATCGTGTCGAACGCTTTATGTAAATCTATGAAAGTGCGGAACAAGAGGTTTGTTGTATTTTATAGATTTTTCAATAAGCGTCTTTACTGTATGGAGGTGATCCTTGGTACCATAATTTGATCGGAATCCTGCCTGCTCCGTCGGTTGGTAGAAATCTAATTTTCTCTCCAATCTTGATGTCACTAACCTAGTGAAGAGCTTGTATATGTGGTTCAACAGGCTAATAAGGTCTATAATTTTCTAGGTCCGTTCTATCTCCTTTTTTATGCAAAAGGATGGTTATAGCATTGTTCCATTCTTTGGACTCCTCTTTTTGCTGCAAACATAGATTAAACAGTTTCCTTAATTGATTTAATAGCATACCTCCTCCATTTACGACAGCTTCTATTACAATTCCATCCTCTCCTGGGGCTTTGTTATTTTTCATTTTTCTTAACGTTTGTCGAATCTCATCTACATTTATTTCTGGCATTAATTCGGAACCTTGATTCATGATCTTTGAAATGGCTGTTTGTATTCGTGTTTGGTCTTCTCATCGAATCGTAGACTTCTGGCATTGTATATATTAATGTAAAGAGTTATGGGGTTTTTGGTTTTCCATATAGTCAGCTTTTTGTCCTCCCCAGAATCCTTGGGACAGACTGATAAATCAGTGTATTTTGGACGCATCCTACTCACCTGGCAGTATATCGGCATTTAAAACACCACGCCTGCCAGACGGGTTGGTGAGTGTTCGCAGTATCACAGCCGGTTAAATCAACTTGATTGCCGCCTGTGACTTTGTGGTACCGCACCTGTTAGGAATGGTATTCCTCAGCCACGATCCACTAATGACACAGCTGCTGACCTATATCATGTCCTCAGTTGATCGGCGGGTATAGTATTTATAAAGTCAGTTGAAACATTTCTCTCCGACTCGATTTTAAGGGCAGTTCAATATTACATTTACCGGTAATCAAGTTAAAGTATAAATAACACGCGTCAATCTTTCAAACGTATTTGAACAATCCCCGTACTTCGTAGGAAATAGATGGAAGAAAGATGCATCCCATCAAATAAATATTGGACATTGATATGTTATTCAAAATCACCAATATTTAACACGCTACTTGGAGGTCCCCTTCTAGCCGGTGGCGAAGGGTACAGATAAGAAACGCTGCCAATGCATGCCAGTGCTGTACAGCAAAAATGTTTATTATTTTACGAAGTATAATTAAATCATTATACTGTCAATATAGCCTATTGCCATTTAATTATAAATTATTTTTGTTGCTTAATATATGTTTAAAAAAAAATTATACACTTATGTACTTTACGACAGCTTTAAGTAAATTAAAATTGTCCTTTTTTTGTTCTACATTAATATATATTTGATTATAAAAATAAATGAAGCGCCCATGTCTGGTAATATGACATTATCCTTTTATTGTTCGTCGGCAAGCAGGTTTTTGGATGTTTCAACTGACTTTATAAATACTATACTTATTTGGCTACGCCTTATTCGTACCTGTCCTGAATATCTAAAGGAACTTCCCTATCAGCCATTGGGACGCGCCGTGTCGGGGTCGAGGACTTCCCCGCCCAGTCTGTCCTGCGTAGAGTACTGAGGAACCCCTACTAAGTTCAGAGTCCCTCTTATGCAAGCTGAGACCGACACGGGGAAAGGACCCGTGTACTACACATAGTAGGGGTCCTACTAAGTTAAGGACACTTAGTAGGACCCCTACTAAGTTCTACATTTTGGCGGTTTTAAAACAACATTATGTATTTCTACACAATTTAATAGTAAAAATCGTTGATATTTATTATTGTTTGCTTACGTTTATTACGATTAAGACTATACTTTTGTTGACTCTTCAGGTAAAAATTTTAAACACTCTATTAATTTTTTAAATTATTTATCCTTTTTTGGCACTTTCACTAGTTTGCACCAAAGAAATTTTCAAAATTTGGTTTTTTCTTTACTTTTTCAATAAGTCCACAATAAATCTCGTACACTTATATTGCACAATTACCATTTTACCAAATGAAGCGAAAGTTTGATGATATAAAAAACATGAACTTATTACCAGATAGAAATCGTATGAGATATTTTAGTATTTCAAATATTTTTTTGTTATTTTAGGCTGTAGACGAAGGAAGTCCTGCATTTGAAGCCGGTCTCCGTCCTGCAGATTTAATTACTCACATTAACGGTGAGACAGTTCAAGGCTTGTACCATACTCAAGTCCTTCAACTTTTATTGGGTTAGTTTCATTGTTAATTGGCTTTTTTTCAAAAATATCAATCAATTTCATTTTAGGCGGGGCAGAACACGTTAGTCTGAGAGCTACGCCTTTGGAACAAACTTCAATCAAGACTGGAGGGCGGAAAAGAGAACTAGGCCAAAGTAAATTGGCGAGAAGGAGCCTAAACAGACAAAAAAAGCAGAAAAAGGAAAGTGATAAAAGAAGAAAAACTTCATTATTTAAGAGAATTAGCAGTAAAAGAGCTAGTGTAGAAATGCAACAGGTAAATGCCTTTTATTCAAATAAAGAAAGAAATTACACCTCTTTACTGTTTTTAGATGTCTGGAACTGCCATACAATCTCCAGTAGGTGTAACGCCAAGCAGAAGTTTTCAATCCTTTACAAGAAGTGCCGACAGTAGCTTCAGTGCGACCGCAGTGAGACCTGTTGCTCCGAGATCTAATTTAACTACTTCAGAATCTTTCTCACTTTCTACAGTTCAATTTTCTGCTCAGTCCTCTTCATCAGAAAGTCCTTCTCCAACTACAGTTCCTTCTAACCGTAACAGTAAACAACATTATCAAAGGCCTTCCACTTTACACGGCCTAAAGCACAAACTGCATACTACGGGCTGTCCAAAATCATTACATGGTGCTGGACCCGCCTGTTCTCCGGCTGTACAAAGTAGAAGGAAATCTGTAGGCCACATACCATTATCACCTTTAGCGCGCACTCCGTCGCCATCACCTTTACCAGCCTCTCCCACAAGATCCCCCAGTCCCCTGGCATTTCCCATCGGCCATCAGCCAGGTAGCTCAAATACAACACAGTCCTACAGTCCAAGTGCTGGCTCTGCTCCGATAGCTATAATAAACCAACCGAAAAAAGGGTTTGCAAGGGCGAAAGGAGGAGAACCTGGTTCCCCATTATTGAGGAGAGCACTCTCGCCTGATAGGTTGCATCCCAGAAGTGCTGAAAGCAAATGTTCAATATCGCCTCTATGTTCGTCAGGAAGTACTTGTAGCCCCAATGTTAAATGTCAAGGTCGTGTTGTTGGTAGTTCTTCCGTTTGGCATCCTAATACTCAACAAGATCGTGATAAAGATTCCGATTTGGATACTTCTACTTCAAGCGAATCAAGTAAGTGTCTAATAAATATAATTTCGTATTTATGAGCATCCAAATTTGGGCCATGTGGCTCTTTATTATTAGTATACTACGACAATTTAATAAAAAGTAAGAATAATTATGAGTATCAGTTTATAGTTAAGTGTTTTTATAAGCTGGATTTATTTCTCTTTAACTTATATGTTCCATTTCTATTCCACTAGGAGAATATACCTCTGTATTTCAGGCAAGATTTTTGCAATCTTGCACTATACAAGAGAAATTAACATGAGGGCTTTTTAACTGAAGCTGGTCAATATATGTACAGATATTTTAGCGGCTATTGAGGCTCTTAGAAGCCCTAAGGTGGACTCTAGACTAGTATGGGAATGTTAGTTTCATGGAGACTTAAGACGCAGACTCTGTAGCAGAGGACCCAAAATAGTCGACCATATCAGTCACTTTTCGAAGACTACCAAGTGACTCCATCCTCTAGACCTCTATAAACTGGTACAGGGTTCCAGAATCCTAGAATGAGTATTATAACAGACGGCTTGTACAGCTGTACAAGCTGTAAACTTTGTAATGCTTTACAAAAGATACAGTTTGGGTGTAGTAGTGCTATAGCAGATTTAAGGAGGAGAAATAAAGATAAGATGGATTAGTATAAAGAAGAAGGATGTTAATATTTTTGGATTTATGAAGAAAAAGGGGTTCAAGACAATTTGAAATTGACAAGATAGGCGGGACGTAAATTGAAGTCGAATAATGAAAGATTTCTCTCAATCCAAGTTTTTGGGAAAGGTCTGATGGTAGGTCACTTGGTCGTCCAAAAAGAAAAAAAATATGCACTAACAAGAGATCCATGGAAGATGGAAGGGAGTACAATAGGAGATAACTGCCCAGGACCGTTAAGACTCCCTTGGCTGCATTAAGTTGTAGAGCCACATAAGAAGAGGTAGCTGACGACATAGATTTTAGAGAGAAGAAGTTAACTAAATTGTTAACTCAATATACTGTTTATTGTTTTGAAACTGAAGTTAATACATTATTAACATCAAATGAAAGTATAGTCATGTTTGGTTGGAATTTGACAGCGTTTAATTTAGAGATAACATAAAAGCGTTCACGACATGGCGTATTTTAACAATTTTTAACTTTAAATCTCCAATTCTTATTTTTCTTTCACATTAAATAATCAAGTATTGACGGAATTTGAAATAAACAAATATTTTTTCATTTGCGACAAATGCGCCATCTCCCTTATATCACATGTCAGCAAAATAATGCTACACACAATCACTGAGAGACTGAAAACTTTCATATACAGAGAAATACCTTAAGAGCAAACTGGATTTACCAAAGGAGAGATATTTGAGAATACCTTCTAAACATAAGATAAATAATAGAAAAATCTATGGAATTCAATATCCCCACAATACTTTAGTTTTATAGATTATCGCAAAGCGTTCGACAGGATCAAATGGCCATACTTATGGCACATAACTGAACTATACGAACACACTACTGGGCTTACGTGCTTGACATATTATCAAACGAATTCCATCCAGAACAAGGTGTAAGACAAGGGTACTGTCTCCAAAATTATTTAATATATAGGGTGTTTCAAAAAACGCCGCCTCTAGGATAGGTAAACAACTGAAAAATAATTGGGGTTTCTTCTTCTTATAGTGCCTATCCATTTCGAATATTGGCGACCATCATGGTAATCTGTATTTTGCACACTGCTGCTCTGAAAAGATTTGTGGTTGTTGTGTTGATCCACGAACGTAGATTTTTCAGCCAGGAAATCCTTCGCCTTGCTGGCCTTGGTTTTTTCCTTCACAATTTACACATAACTTACACCCCATAACAATTACCCACACATAACCGTGATTGACCGGTTTCTGAGCTCATACTTATATCTGGGATCTTTGATCACAAAAACCAAGGTCACTACAGGAAGAAATAAAACATATAGACGGTCACTGTACTCCCTCCGGGGGACCAGAGCTGAAGAGAGAGAAAGAAAGAGAGAGAGAAAGAAAGAGAGAGAGAGAAAGAGAGAGAGAGAGAGAGAGAGAGAGAGAGAGAGTGAGTGGGCTTCACAATCTTCTTTAGTTATGTGATTTAACTTGTATGTCCTACATATATCGCATTGATCATTTTTTGTCCTGTATAAAGACAAATTCAGGTCCTCGAAGATCTTGTGAAATGTGCAAGAAGAAAGTGGTTTATAATCTTTTGCCTTGCACCAGTTTTCTGCACAGAACTGATAAGAGTATGTATCCAATCCAATAGTGTGATTCCACGTTCGGTAAAGTCAATAAAAATTCTTTGAATGATTCCAATGTTTTGTTTAAATCATGTTGCCTTGACATTCTTTTTGCATTTTGTTTCTTTACCGTATTCTCATTCTTCTTTGTTAGATTCTCATTCGTATGTATATGGCGCATCTATTAAGCCATCATCTTTTTTTGTGCTATTTTCAAGCCAGTTTTTGACCATCCACTCACCTAAATCCAAGGTTGAGATTAATGTTTCCTTGCACATACGGTCATTTGATCAATAAATAAGTAATACTTAAAGGAGTAAGATCGTCTTTGATATATTTTCTTCTGATCTATCCTGAGCTCTTTGTGTCAAATCCACATCAGTTGAAGTTTTCACTAAAATTTTTCTCTCTTTCCATATTAACGCCCAAACGTTGTCAAATATCTTTTTATTCTCCTGTTCTGAAATGTTATGACATTTAAAAGTCCTTCCTTTACACTTGCAAGGGATTTTTTTCATCGTTCTGTTCTAGGAATGCATCTAGGAATGTATCTAGGAATTCTAGGAATGTATCCTGTTACTTTCCTATTAGGTAATTTCCTTCCCATGTATTCCCTCCTTTGCTCACGTAAAATCTTCGCTTGGTTACACTGCCAGTCATCCTTTGCAAGTTGTTGTTTTTTCTTTTCCTGTTTGAGAGCTCATCGGTAACATCAGGTAACCTATCTTGTTCCACTATTTCTTGATCGTCAATTCCTGTGTATGGTTAATCAATTCTAATCAGGTTTTCCGTGATGTTTTCAACTTGTTCATGTATTTCTCTATCACGGGGCTATAATTCTCAGCCAAAGAGTCTCCTACAATTGTCTGTATTAGATAAATAGATAGATAGATAGATAGATAAATAGATGATAAACATCTTGCAATGTTTCTTTACTCAAGAGATTGTTGAATGCATCTATAGTGCCTTCATGTGTTACTCTGAAAGTATTTCGAACTGATGTCATAGTTAGATTAATAAAATTCAACCTCAAAAGGATTGATATTGTGATATCGTGATACCGATTCAGTATTTACATTTACAGTACCTACACAATCGTCACAATTTGTATATACCTGATCCAAAATATTTCCGCATATGGAAGTCGACCTTGTAGGTGTAAAGTTCCTGGGTGACAAACGATATAAGATGCTAGAAGACCAGAAAATCTGTGTGAATTATTTAGTGTCATGGAATTTACATTAAAATCGCCTCATCGTTAAAAATATGAATTGATTTGGTTTAAAATTTGAATTTAAAATAAGGTTAAGTTTTTCATAAAATACATCAAATTTACCTTTAGGAGATCTGTAGCAAACTAAAATTGTGTGTTGATTTGAATTATAATGCCACTTCAGCCCACATACCTCAATGTCTTTTTCAACACAGTACTTATCGAGTAAAATGGAATTAACCTTCATATCATCCCTTGCCCAAACTGCAACGCCACTACATTTATATTGGGATCTACTAGAAGAATTTACAATTTTAAAATTAGGAAAACTATAATGAATAACCTCGTCATTTGCTCACCACGTCTCAGTTATACAAAGAAATTTCAAATCAGACTCCTTATAATCAGCAAATAAACAATCCATTTTAAATTGATTTAGTCCCTGAATATTTGATAATAGGGGATCGTACTCATCCCTTCCTTTTTCCCGTTTAAAAGTCAATTCTTCATACTTCACTTTATTTGCGTATGTGTTGAGCGCTTCATAAAAAACCTACTTACATAAGAGCCTACTGGCCATAGTTTTGGGTCCATCGCTTTACCGAAATTTTGTTCAAAAATTGAAACTCTAAAAGATGAATATATGTTGGGATGCTTAGCCGTTAACGACGTACATATTACTTCTGGAAAGTGTTTTTCTAACATCTTCTTAAGATTTTCTGCCGTTGTATGTTGGTCTACTCTAGTAACATGGAGATGGCTAAATTTTGGGACACCACTGATTTCTGAGTTCTCATTATTACCTATAACAAAACGTCCATTCATTTTTTTGTGTCTAACTATTTTCCATTCTTGTCCACTATTATTTGTAGCTGAATTTGTATTTTCAATATTTATTTTATCCTATCAAATTTTCATCGTTTATTAAATTAATAATATCTGAACATTTTGCTTCCGTTTGTATTTTTAAAATATCAGCTGATAATTGTTTATTATTTTCGATTAAGGAAATAACTTGTTTATTTTTATTGGTAACATTTTTAAAGACAGTTTTTGTTGGGGAACTCCTTTCTTTATCAATAGCTAGACTTTCATTAACAGCAATATTTTTGCGGGTGTAGTTTTTTTGTTTTTTGGGTATTCTTTACTGCTAGACTGTATCGGTCGTTCAAAATTGAGGTTTCTGTTAGAATTGTTTATTAAATTCATATTTTGTTGAGTAGATGGCGACTGGTCGGTTAATTGCATATATTTAAATAAATCTAGTTGTTCTTTTAGTAAATTTATCGTTATTTGTTGATTTGATATTACAATATCATTCTAAATAATAATTTTCTTTAAGCACCTGATTTCAGTTATCCTCGGATCCTCATCGTCAGCCCCTTTATCCAAGATTGCGTTTGATGGATCACTTAACCTAACACTTTCATCACAGCATATAACTGTTTCATCGTCGATATATTTAATACATTTTAATTGCTTCAGGCAGCCACTATGTGTATTGGAAATAAGGTGCCGTCATCTTTTACAATGAAAAATGCAGATTGAAAATCATCGCTTCCATCATTTGTGTTTGGAGTTGAGTTCGATATTCAATAGACAATAGACGCCTTTGTAGATCCTTTTAATGACATTTATGGGTCCGGTCAAATACTACAGGACTAGTTTCAATCAACCTTTATACCAATCCCAAGAAAGCCAAACGCTAATAGTTGTGACCAATTCCGAATGATCAGCTTATTGAGCCAGGTCCTAAAACTCTTCTTAAAGATAATTCACATAAGAATATACAACAGATGTGAAAGAGACATTAGCCCCACACAGTTCGATTTCAGATAAGGATTTAGCACAAGAAAAGCACTTTATGTCCTACTTGTCCTACTTCAGAAATGCAGAGATCAACAAAAATATGTCTTCCTATGCTTTGTAGATTATCAGAAAGCGTTCGATTGTGTTAATCATTCAGAATTAGTAAGCTTGCTCCAGGAACGTTCGATATATTAGAATTACGTTAAAATCATAAAAAACCTTTATATGAATCAAGTGGCATCTGTGAGAGTAGGACTGGAATCTACATCATATTTCGAAATCAAAAAAGGTGTACGACAGGGTTGTGTTCTGTCACCCTTCCTTTTTAATCTTTACTCTGAAACGATTTTCGATAGAGCCTTAAGTGACACTGAAAATGGAATCACAATCAACGGACAGACTATTAGTAATCTTCACTATGCTGATGATACGGTTATAATAGCTGATAGCAAAGAAGCGCTACAACGACTAATAGATAGAATAAACAATGAAGGAGAACGACTGAGCTTGAATATTAATATAGACAAGACGAAGGTAATGGTGGTTAGTAGAACACGAAATATGCAATTAAATAGTAAACAATAAGAAGATCCAAAAGGTCCACAAGTTCAGATATCTCGGTAGTTAACTAACTGAAGATCTAGATCCAGACATAGAGATACCGTAGCAGGATTGAGTAAGCCAGAACAGCATTTATAATATGAGAACATTGCTAAGCAACAGCTGCCAATAATAAAAAGAAGAAAAACTGCTTATCTGGGTCATATATTTCTAAATTATAAGTACCAGTTCTTAAAGCTTATTATGGAAGGGAAGATAGAAGGAAAAAGGGGCACTGGAAGAAAGAAATACTCATGGCTTAAAAAACATAAGGGATTGGACAAACCTCGATGCCCATGCACTCTTTAGAGCCACACAAGATCGATAGGAGTATGCCAGAATTGTCGCCAACATTCACTAATTGGATATGGCACCATAAGAAAGAAATCGTTACAATAAAATAGTACGTTATTTACATAGAACGTATAGGAGGGCGTAGAATTTGGGAAGGGTTAACCATTCATTTTTCCCTATCGTATGCCTCCGGTAGTAGCCATAAATGTTTATTTAACAAAATTTAGTATGGTACAAAATTTAGTACAGTACCTACACTTCCTTCCAAGTATGACTAGGAAATGTCAAACAGTTTTTGGGTACTGGGTAGAAATAGTTTTTATATTTTTAAATAAGCAACTCAGTAAGGAGCAACATTTTATTTATGTGATTTCGGTTAAACCTTAATATTTTGAGCCCAGGAATCTACAGTTAAAATATTTCCTATTATTAATGAAACACCCTGTATATAAGAAGGAAGAAGATTCTATCGTTATATGCTCTATCACTTATAATCTTTATGACTTTGTAGTCTTACTATATTTATCGGCAAATGTATCACTGAAACATTTAACTGTTATATTTACCCTAGAAATGTTTTTAATTTGTTTTTATATTTCAGGCTTAAATTCGAGTGGCTCAGAGAACCGATTATCGCTAAATTTATCAGGTGTTGGCGAGTTACTTCCACGGATAGCTGAAGAGAAGGATTCTCCAACAAACGGCCAAGAAGTGAAATTTAAAAAACCCGCGAAAGGTAACGAAGATATATTGAAACTGGATAACCCAACCGAAGATAAGACAGAAAAAGTCAGTAAACGGGATTCATCCATTTCAGATAAAAATCTTACTAGTAATGTTGGCTATAAAGTCAATGAATCGGCGAAAAAAGATTCAGAACATTTGCAGAAAAAAGAAAGCGTCGTAAAGTGTGATATAAGTAAGAAATTTGAAAAGGATAAGAAAAAGTTAGAAGAAATAAACAAATTGGAAAGAGAAAAGAAATCTAAATTAGAGGAAGTTCAAAAACTTGAAAAAGATAAAGATAAGAAAGCGAAGATGGAAGAGAATCTACTTAAACCGAGCAAATTAGAAGAAAAAGGACAAGGCAAGAAGGCTGATAAGTCTGAGGAACTACCAAGTACAGGCGGAAACGAAACTAAAAAAACTAGTGTAACTGAGGAAGCACAGAGTAAACTAGAAAATAAGAAATCTGAAAGTGAAACGAAAAAGGCAACAAATGAGGAAACTAAGCTAAAAACAGAAAAATATAAAAAGTCCGGTTATAGTGATTTTTCTCAGCAAAAGTTGGACAAAAAAGATAATTTAAAATAAGTGGTTAGTATATAGTGTAACACTTGGTTTTAGGTGACTAAAACGTGTAGTAAATTGGTAACAACATACACACATACAAACACTGCCCATTTTTCGTTTGGAACTATAATGTTTAATGCCATCTGGTGGTGTGAAAACCTTTATATATGAAACTTTATAAGATTTGAAGCTTTAAGAAAATTTTAATTTTTTAAATTTTTTTGAGGTTAGAAAGTAAATGTGAATAGTGAATTCATCAATCATCATCAATCAGCCAATCGCGTCCACTGCTGGACATAGGCCTTCCTCAATTCTTTCCAGTGTTCTCTACACTGGGCCGCTTGTAGCCAGTTTCCCGCTACACGTTTAATGTCATCGGTCCATCTAGTCGGTGGTCGTCCTCGGCTTCTTTTATAATTTCTGGGCCTCCATTCCATAATACGTCTTGTCCACCGTCCATCTTGTGTTCTGGCTAAGTGCCCTGCCCAGTTCCACTTAAGCGTCGTGGTTCTTTCGATGACGTCTTGAACTCCTGATCTTCGTCTGATTTGTTGGTTTGTTATGTGGTCTCGAAGGCTCACGTTCAGCATTGTATAGTGAATTAGGATTAAGCAATTCAAAATACCATATTTGTCCCAAAGAATATTGTTTTTCTATTTTTTAAAAGCTTTTTTTCATGCAAATAACGTATTTTGGGTGAGTGATATGATAAAATGGTCATTTTGAGGTTAAAGATTACCAGTTTCGCAAAACACCAGACTGTACTTAGAACTAGTCAGAGATGAATAGTTTAACGGCTGGTAAAATTTTTTATTTTCAAAAATTAAATGGGCAGAAGGATTCGTATTCTTTGTATGTATAACTTAAAATTCTTTTTAATTTATTTATTAAAGTTATAACTAACTATACATACATCTTTATGTATAGTTACAGGGGTCTTTTTAGTATTTCTTTTTAATAAGTTAATGCTTGCAGATAAGTTTTATCCTTTATACGCTCTTTAAATGAAAGCAAGTATGATTTAATATACAGGAAACTAGCATATATAGTTAATTTTAGTTATACAGGAAAAAAACCAAGATAACAGTATGAAAATTACAATCTGTATCCAATTTTCACGCAGTACAGTGATTATTAAAAGCTTTTTTGCTGCAGAAAACTGTTGAACTAAAATTTTATACAAAATACAAAAGCTACAATTTCTTTTGTGATATGAGTCATACTGACTCCGTAAGTTAAGAGTCAGGTTTGAGTGTACGAAGATGTATTGGAAAATCCGTAGATTACTGCGGAAGCAAACAAAGTTTAAAAGTCAAAATATTGTATTCAATATACTCATGTCTAAATTGGATTCATTTACAACGAACGCCTCTGGATCTTAAAAAAAATGTCTTCGTTGAAAAAAAAATTTACTACCTTTTTCACTTTTTTTTTAGTTGAGGAAAAACATAATAGTCGGACGGAGCCAGATCTGCTACATAAGGGGTGTTCGAGTAATTAGAACTCCAAAATTAAGAGTCATGATTTGTGTTCAAGGGCATTGTCCTGCAAATATAATTATAATCAAAGCATAACCAATAAGAAACAAGCAAGGTTCATTGTATATTCTGTCCATTCTATTAATGCGCAACATTCTTCTGTAACCTCTATTTTTTAAAGCATGGTATTTTGTATGGCCCCTGTTGTTGTTCCATAGAGCAACACAGAAAAACAACAGATTTATATCGAACCATGAATAATTCTTTTGTACTTGAAGCAAGCTATTCTTGCTTGTGCAAAGCGACCCAAGAAAATTATATTTGTAATTCTTTGAAATGGTGCACCGTTAATTTGTAAGTTGCCATCAAGTACCTTCTATTTTCTTTTCTTGGTGTTTACCTTCAGCCATATTAATGTACCAATGTATTGTAATGTCTGTTCAAAAAATGTACTAAATGTAATTCTTTTATTGTGCTAGAACGTGTACACTGAATAGTGCGTCCCTTGATTCTAATCGAATTTTATATTCAAATTGGCACTGCTTATCGTTTTGTCCAGTTAATTAAGTTCTGCTGAATTACCTGCAGAATACTTTCAATACATCACTTATTAGGCTGATAGTTGTATAATCTCGACACACCTTAGGAAAGTTTTTTAAAAAACATTTACGATAACCACCAAATGATGTTGTTTGGATTAGTATTTTGTAATAAATTTTATTCTTTATTTATGTTGGTTGGAAAATAGTTTTAGCATAAGTGGCTGTGACCAAATATGCTTCATTTACTGAGATAAATTCTTGTTTTTTTTTTGTAAGGATGAAAGTTTGATAAGGATAAAACCTTCGTGTTTCTTATAAGTTTATATTGTCTTCTGGATAAATCGGCTCCTATAAGCAGACTGAGCATTAAGTGTGGATAGCTTTTGACCTTTTTTCTTTAAACTACTACTATAAACTCCTTTGTACGTATAACCTTTTTTGAAAACAAGTAATACTGATTGTAATTGTAATTATAACAAGGATAAAAACTTTTGTTTGTTTATCTTACAGCGCATTTACATGGTGTCTCTGTTTCGTACGTTGATGAATTCATCAAAACGCAAGATAAACATATTCTTTGCAATTTGCCTAGTTATCTTTAAACTAACATTTTGAAAGGCATGCCTCAATCGTCAATTGTTGTGATCAGATGAGCGTATGCAAATGTTCCATTCTGTGGAATTAACACCGAGGAAATTCAAAATGAACGAAACTATTCAAAAATTAAAAATATAATAAATTTATAAAGCAACACCGAAATAATCATTCTACAAATAGCTTTTGCTCTGCGCATGCCTGTTTCATGGCGTACGCAGTTGCATGCCTCTAGATATATGCATGAAGTTCGACCAACAGATGCACCGTGTAGATGCGTCATTAATATTATATTTGTTTCTACAGGCAGACAAAGCATAAGCTTCTCTTTTATCTTATAAAATGAACGTTCCTAGTGGTTTACTGTATACCATAATTTAGAAAAATTTACAAGGAAGTACAAAACTTTGTTGGAATTGGTATACTTCATCCGTGGATATTTGAACATTTGCAAAAATACACTTACAATTCGGTTTAAACCCTTTGGTTTACATGTAAAATGTTATATAAGCTTTAACATTTAATAAAACATATCGAGCTTATGAATTTCACTAAAAGGGAACATAATAAGCCCTTACTCAACAATGGCGAACACGTCTAGATCCAGCCAAAGTTACCAGCCAACTGATAAGACCCCGGTTTTCTGAGTAAGACCTAGAATAAGACCGAAATCGTTATCATTTTTATTAATCCTTCTGGATAATTTTGTTATAAATTAAATATACCAATCACACAAGAAGTTTTATACTTCCTTGTAACTTTTTCATTTTATATTTTTTTATCAAAAGAAGTTTTATCTTTGTATATGTATAGGTGTATGAAAACGTTTAGTATTATAGGTTGAATGTTGATGTGAGGTAGCTATTACAATATTGAAAAATATTTATTTCATATGTGTTAAAATAACGTGTGATAAATGGTAAAGAATAGTATACTTTTGATAAGGATGAGGTGCCGCGTCCCATACCCTTTAACGAACATTTTGAAGAATTTTCCGCTAAGCACTGGAAAATATGGAAGAACGTAAAAGGGTTAAGAATCAACAACTTACGGCATATAGATAATATAATACTCTGATTCAGATGCGGGTCTCCAGAATTTGCTGTGTAGCGTATCGATAATATGCTACTTAATATACATAAAACTAAAATTATGGTCAAATCTTCTTTTCAGATATTTCATATAAACAATTTTGACAGTAATTGTTTAACAGCTGTTCCACATATCTCTTAAGTATCGCCAAACCTACTTCACAAGCCGTGTATATTTGACAACGTTGCAATGGCGGTTTAAGGTGTAGGCCGATTTGCCGTGATTTGATATGTCAAAATGTGACAATTTTCAGAAATGGCCATTTTAAAAATATCATAAAACTTGACCCGTAACTGCTAACAGGCTAATATTTTGGCTTAGGTGTGTAAAAAGCTATAGTCAATTCCATATTTCCTTAATCCTATTTTAGGCCATAAAAATTTTTTGAGTTGAGACGTTCTTTTAAAAAAATGTGGTCGGTGTTTGGAGATAATTTACTTCTTTATTCAAATTGTATTACAAGTGTTTTACAAGTATATATTTATTTCTAAAAAATAAGAAGAAATAGCTATAGTGTAAAAACTAAAAAACACTGTCATTCTGCAGTAAATTATAGTTAAAAAACTACTTATCTTCAATTGAAAATTAATTCTTTAAATATCCATAATACACTCTCTTCATTGTTTTTGACAACTCTACCCCTGAATCCTGGAAACTTTTATAATCTGAAATAATTCCAATTGGATTTATTTTGTTAAGAACGTCATAAATCGAAGTAATTTGTAGATAGTTGGGTTCAAAAATTCCAAAAGTTTTAATAATTTTCCAATATACTGACATAACTTAAAAGAATACTACAACTCATTTTAAACATAACAACTTTTTTAAAGACTGACACAACTCAAAATAATGCAATATTCTTCACAGAATGTATTGTATTATCTTATTGTGTTTTTGAGAAAGGATGGCATATCTTATGACAATATTGTAAAAAATGTCGAACCAATTTTTCGATTAACAATAACGGCACTTTTTCCATCTGACGGCCATAGGTATAAACTAACTGTATGTCGTTATCACACAAAAACATAGAATATTTGAAATCTGTTCACTAAAATAGTCCATTTTTCCCTTTTTTGAGATATGGCGGTCTTCTAGGTCTATTCTTGTGGATCTATGGAAATATAATATTTAGTCGTGCTTACAACAACCTCAAAATCAGGTACATGATTTATGTGATTGTGGTGGCCTTAAGCAACTAAGGCCATCTAGTCATCCATCTTTAGTTCACTTACAAAGAACCACTTTACGTCATTTGCTCACACTTTATAACACCTACTTCAACGGATGACCGCACTGGTCTAGAACCACTGCCAGCATCAAAACCCCTTTCAGCATAAAGATTTAAAAATAAAAACTTCTTGAATAAAATGTTTCTCACATTCAGCTGTTTTGTCATTTGACACCCAGTGGCTTCTTGGAGTAGCTGTTAACCGTTTCCCTCTTAGCAGGATCCTGCTAATGTAGAGTCGTGTGTATGCTTGTATATTTTTGAAACCAATTTTCATTAGAAATGATTATCTACAAATTTCAAGGTTTAATGTAGATAAATCACAAAAACATAACTTACCGTACAATGCAAACTTTGATAAGCTGTTAAACATGCCTTTTTTATTAACGTTTATTCGCAACATGATAAACAAAAAGTACATCCTTTGTTATTTTCGATGCATTTTTGTTAAATTTTTCGGGTGTAAAAACAATATTAAACATTCAAACTTTATAGGTATGTTATACCTTGTCTTTCTTTATATGTGATAACTAGGAATTATGTATGCTTTTTTTAAATACGTTTTATATATTTAATTGGAAATTTTCAAGAAAGTCAACGCTTTTTGTGTGATTTATATAATTAAATACATATTTGTTGTGATTTTTTTCTAATTTATTTCATTTTAAATAAACGAGTGTTGATTTAAAATCGTAAAATGTGAAACATACTGTTGATGATACATGGTGAGTAGGAAAAAATCGCCAAATTTCTGGAGTTTAAAATAAAAATAATTCCAAATTTGAATGGGTTTATCCAACTTTGGTATTTTCTATCAAGGGATAATTTTTCCTAATCAAGGAGTGTAAACTATTAGTAATTGTAATCAACCATAATTTTTGTTAAAAATATGTTTCATGTTTCGATTTCCACTGTGTACTTTTTCGATTTCCACTTATTTTATATTTGTCCTCTTTCTTTAGTTTTAATCATTTTTTGAACACCTAGTGTTGGTCTTAGACATTTAGGTCTCTGTTCTTTTCAATGACTTACTCTATTAAGTTCTCGTTTCATTTTTTTATGTCGCGTTTTAGTTCTTTTCTTCTTTTTCGGCTTCCCATTTTTGAGTTCGCTGTTATCGTCTCCACATCACTAGTATTTTCCCAGTCACATAGGGTCCCAGTACAATATTCTTTTCTACCACCTGTGCTCTGGCTTTCTTTGTACATTAAGCAACTTAAATTGGATTACAGTCTAACTAGCTGTTACCTCACACTCTCGTATACATTATTTCTTGTTGCAATAATCTATTTGGCTTTCTAATTTTAACATGTAATAACTGTCTTCATAATGTGGTGCTACTTTTACTATTAAACATAGGCTCAACCTCATTTCTACTTTCAAAAACTAGTCTCTAATATCTCTACATAACCGCTTCTTATTTGAACTCGTATCCATTATAATCATCTCCATTATTGCTCCCTCTTCTGTCGGAACATCTAAAGTATGTATCCTAATATTGATAGTAGAAAGTTTTTCTTTCATCCTAGTCGCGATATTTCTAGTGCTACTTTTCATTACATTCGCACTATGATTTAGATAGTCATTTTTTAATATAAAAAATTTGAACACGTATTGTAAATATGTACCTACTAGCTTCATACTCTTACAGACTTCCAAGAAAATATCTTCATTTTATAAACCTGCAATTTGGTTTCCCTGAATTATCTTTTATCTAGATATCTGAACGAATAATGTCTAATTCCAAAATATTTTACCATAAATGATGACCATTTTTGTCGATATTATGGCCTAAAACGACTACTAAACGGCTTTTTTTTACTTTTTTTGCAACAGACTCAGCAGGATTTTTCTAATGTAACTAAAGTTCAATATAACCATATCAGTCGGCAACTAGGAGGCACAAATTTAAAATGCCTACAAATATTACGTTGAAGGTATTTAACAAAAATTAAAATATGTATTAAAACAATGTTGGATTAAACCAAGTTTGGAATAATTTTTTTATAAAACATTTTTCCTCACTCACCCTGTATAAATTACATCACATATGTTGTTAATTTTAATTTAAATAATCTTTATGTATATAAAATTGCTCTTTTTAAAAATAAATAGGATAGTCTAACTGCATTTTTTAGTCACTATAAATGTTTTTTGTTTGTGTAAATACATAAAAAAATTGTTAATGGATTCTTCCAGAAGAAGTAAATTATCACTGTTCGTAATATACCCCACTGATGTAACTTTTGTTTTATTTTGACAACCTTTTGGTTAAAAATTACCCTAATACAACAAATAAGGACTCAAAAAATAAATTACCACACGAATGGAACAGAGGAATTATAGTGAGCAGATTTAAAAAAAAGTAGATCGAGAGAAGTGCAAAAACTACAGAATAATAACCCCTTTAACAATTAATTGCAGAGAGTAACCCATGGGCAACACTCAAATTTTCGACCTTTTACTGTTGTGAAATTCCGCGATTCCAACTGCGTCATTATTTCATTATTTTTTAGGATTGAATCATTTTATTAGAAACTAATTCCGTCGTATTAAGATGACTGGACCAGAAGAAGATATAAGAGAAAAGACTGGAAAGTTCAATGCAAAGACAGAAAGAAATGGAAAGGAGTCACCACAGCAGCAAAAATAGTATAATAAATAATAATAATAGTAATTACTCGCTCAAGCAGCACGACCGAGGCAGCGCATGAAATGGTCTATGTCAATGATTGAAAATATTTAGCGCTTTTATTACCAGGTGACAAACTTCGGTCAAGGGACGATCGGGTATTGACAAAATCTCTGTGTCGAATTTTGCAGAGAGTACCCAGAAATGAAAGTATCTGAACAACGAGTTGCAGGTCAATACCAGGTAATTATAAGAAACAATCGTATCCCAGAGACTAGACGCAATACCATCAGAAGCAAAATCGAATGGGAGATTAAAATCCAGAGGTAAATGTGGATCAGCTTGCCATATAAGAAACTTTACCTGATAATACGCAACAGGACAACAACGAGTTAAGCGAAATGGCACGTGCTGTAGAAGAGCTTAGTGGAACAAACTTACTTAGCAAACCACGGCTACCAAAAATTCACTCTTCTAAAAAACTAGGTGCTCTGTTACAAATTACGAATACTGAAATCCTACCCAATTACGTCGCAGAAGCACATACACTGGAATATTTACACATGCTTATTTACTGTGCAGTAACAGCTAAGATAATGCTGGGAAAACGGCTTCTAAATAAGATTGAATTATTACGTAGGAATATTGGTCAAATGACAAAATATATACGAGGAATAATGAGTAGAAAAGTCATTAAAAGAGCTGAAGAAATAAATGTTGAGCAGTGCAAGCCACACGCAATATGATCTAGGAAACAACACAGCCCAACAGTGCCTGGAAATATTAACACAAAAACTCTCCGTTTATTCAGGACGACTAAACGAGGTGAAAAGCTAGTAACAGCCGGAAATACGACAATGCGCTTGTTGGACATGCCGAGAAGGCGTTCTATCGAAAACTTAATTCCATTGTAGAAAGTACCAATAAATCATACCCAAGCCAAGAAGAAATTCAGGAGTTTTTGGAAAATCAACTTCCATACCAGCTGCTTTTAACAGCATTGCTGGATGGATAGAGAATACGACGCACAACTGTTAACACTACTGCACTACTCTCTATGAACCCTTCACCACAGAAGAAGTCTCTAATATCATCAAAGAGCTTTATCATTGTAAATCTGGACCATACAGAGTTCAATCAAAACTTCTGGCTTAAGAAGTTCTGGAGTGCTCATGAGTGCTTATCATCACTAATTAATCATGTTATTTCTAATCCGCAAGAAAAACCATCATTCCTAACTTAGAGAACGACTTAATACCGAAGGATCAAAATAATACTGAAGTACCGCCCAATTACTTGTTTTCTAACTCTGTATAAATTGGTCAAATTCTGTGTAGCCCAACGGATCTACCAACACTGCGCTCTAAACATTGAACCTCAACAGAAAGGATACGCTAAGGGTTACATGGCCTGCAAAGAACAACTTTTTATCGACTCAGTCATTTCTAACCAGGCATACACCAAAAAAACAGATCCTCTTCACTGCCTTTACAAGAAATCATTTAACTGAGTACCGCGCGAATGGCTTGTAGATAAATTAAGAATATATAAAGTCGATGACAATATAGTGACCTTTTTAAGAAATATACAGATTGGAAGACTAAAGTTCACCTCTAAATACCTGGTGAAAACATTATCGAAACGGAAAAAATCGCAATTAACTGCGGCCTATTTCTAGGAGACTCGCTGAGTCCACTGTAATACCCATGAACTCACTATCTCAGCTATTGAACTCCACTGACTCAGGTTTTAGCATTAAAAACAATACTTTAGTGGCGACGCTTAATCATCTATTGTATATGGATGATTTGAAACTATTGGCTTCCACTCGAAACCACCAAAATAAAGAGACAATGGAGAGTGGAAAGTATCCGGTACTTCAAAAACTGGCTTATTTTACACGTGGCTGCAATTTAAAGAAAAACTAAAAAAACTGTAGGTACTCCTAACAATACAAAACTAAGCAACCTATGTAACTAAATTTCTACCATTTTACGATAGTTGTAGGAAGTTAAAAGGGCAAATTGAATCCATATACAGTTACATCGTATGAAGGGACATAACTGGATTATCAAAGGGGGTCCAATGAAATAGCTACAACTCTACACCATACCTTCACAATATTTGATATCATTTGTCTGTTCTGTGATGGATGTGGCTCTCAAAATGAGAACTCGTCATAGGAGTAGACAGCTAATAAATTTGAGTCCATCAGGCATAGAAAAAGTTCAAGTAATTTTTTCAGTTGTAGGTCATTCCGCCAGACTTTTTGGCCAAAATGAAAAACACCTGAAGTTACGTTTCCTGAATAGTATATTAAAATAATAATTTCAAAAACTTCAAATGACATTGTAGTTAGGGAGAAGATTTGCTATAAAAACAATATCGATACCAATAAATCTTTTCTAACAAGAATACAGATACTGCCTATGCATCCTGTAGCTGTGAAGGTAAGTTTACCATTACAACCAGTAAAATGATAACCTTGTAAGACCTGCATAAAAGATAAGACTTGCAAAACCATGAAATATTATCCTTTTTGAAGAAGACCTACAGCTTTTTCTTAAAAAAAGCGAATTGCCTAAGATCGCAAGATGCTTTGATTGAAAAGGTAGTAGACAACAAAAAAACTGAAAAAGTATGTTTTTAAGAAAACTTACATTTCGATATTTAATTTTTTTTTCATATTGTTGGTGTATGCCCATACCACATGTATTTTTGTTTAATAAAAATATGAAACATTTAAATTTTCCAATTCCTGCCATTTTAAGAGATTGTGGTCAAAACACGACATGGCCATAACGTGCAAAACTCTACATGTCCAAATTTAAATTTAATTTAAAAAAAAACTCCAATGTAATAGGTTTATGGGCACCATTTATTAGTGTAGAAATTGCCAAACAAAAATAATATTCTTTGATGTAGGGTATTTTAAACATAAATAAGGTTTCTATAGATTTTTTCGGGTTAACTTAAAATTCGTTTTAATGAACATGTCGGGTTTTGAATTTAGACGACCGAAATGATAGATGAATAATCCGCGTCACCTCAGGAAAGTAGTTTCAATTCAAAACTATCTGGCGTTAGCCATAATTCCTAGATGTTAACTTTGATGACTATGATCGTTACAATTAAAGAAAGGAAGAAAGTAGTGTTGCTAATTATTATATTGGCCATTACGGATTATTTGGAGCAATTAAGAACGGACTCTACCAGTACAGGTATGTCAAAAAAAAAACAAAAATGTATGTTATCTGTTTGACATTAATGTAAGATAGGCTTAACGTAAACCTGGTAACCATGTCAAATATGTCAATGTCAAGTGAACACGACTTCCCAACGGGGACAATGGGCGACATGATCATGTTGTAATGTATGAATATTATTAATATATGTTCAGCCAATACAGTAGTTTAATTGAGACCTTATTAACATACTTTAAACATGGCGCAGTCAGTAGGATTAAGTTAAGTGCTAAGTTTATTAAAAAGAAAAATTTAAGTGTTCCCAAAATGGCAAGCATGGTCAATGGAATAGGTTATGTTAAGTTACCCCAAGATTTCGACCTCCAGGGTCAGAGTGCCGCTTCTGAATGGAAATTTTGGAAAATTTCATTCGAAGATTATTTAGTAGCAACAGGACAACACGACGCTGTAGATCAGGTGAATTTATCCATCCTGCGAAATATTATTGGCTATGAATCAGCACGGATTATGGCTACTTTTGTTATCCCTGATGAAGAACTAAATAAGTATGAATTCACAATGCAGCTGTTAGATAAGTATGTGAACCCAAGAGTTAACGAATGCTTTGAGAGGTACAACTTTATAAAACGAGTACAAGAAGATGGGGAGACATTTGAACATTTTTTGACAGAGTGCAGACATTTGGTTAGAAGTTGCAATTACAATGCCCTAGATCCCGATGAGTCATGTGAAGACAAGGCATTAAGAGACAAAATTGTTATGGGAATTAGGGATCCGACCACACGAGAAGCCCTCCTGCGAATAGACAAATTAAGTTTAAATAAAGCTATAGAATTCTGCAGAACAAGTGAGCAAAGTAGATCTCAAAATTTACAGTTTCAATATAACACAGGAAATATTAATCATACACAGAAGATAGAGAAAAAGAAATATGATATATAGAAGAAACCTTGGAATGAAGAGAAAGAAGTTGAAGAAGAAGTTTTTTTATGCAGAAGGAGTGCAAAAAAGCATGGTCCGAGGGAATGCCCAGCTTATGGCAAGAAGTGTAACAAGTGTGGACTAAAAAACCATTATGCAGTTGCCTGCAAGGTCAAAAATATTAAAAGTACTGAAAAAGATGATTGTGAGTCAACCTCTTCTAATGAATTTTTTGTAAGAAATGTTAACAGCAGGAAAAAGGTATGTAATGTTGATTTGATAGACACTTGGGAAGAGTATATAGAGGTTGAAAATTATAAATTGAAAGCTAAGTTAGACACAGGGGCAGATGTAAATGTTATTCCTTTAAATGTTTATAAAAAATTTAATTGTCAATTTAAAACCAGGCCTACTGAATATGTGTTAAAGGCATTTGATGGAAATGTGTCTCATCCTATAGGTGTAGTAAATTTAAATGTAAA